ACATATGTAGATCCTATGTATATACATACGTCATTGCAAATGGTAAGCATAAAAATTATCACACAATCCAGCGCATTCTTTATGTACGATACCGTAGGTACTTATCTTCAGCTCAACCTTTGTCCACCAGAAATGCATATGTACATAGCCATTTTTGATTCTTCACATTAAGGTCAATCTGGGCAAAAAATATTAAATTCTAGGAACAGATATGATGATGTAGCGGAAGCAAACTGTCAAAAATTCTGTATTGAAAATGAAACATTTTCAAAGCGTTTAAAATCGTCAAAACAAAATTTTTTACGACGTATTTTACTTTTGACCTTATAACCGTAGCGACACGACCAGTTGACCTTTAAGGTCTTTTAACGAACTCTTCTTAATTTTAAAATTAAACTCGATATCCTCAAAAACAACTCAAAACAAGGTTTCAAAAAACCGAAACCTCTCCAAAGTCCTCTACCTCGCCATTCTGACCACTTACACAAGCTCGTTCTTCACCGCTTGGCTGTACTTCGTCTTCCCGACAGCACCAATATTCCCCAATGGTCTCCTCCCCCTCTCCCTGCAGTCCAGCTGGCTCATCTACCTTTCCGTTGGGGTGTGCTACGTCCACTTCGTCGTCACCATCTGGTCCACCTTCCTCTTCAGTACGGCCCTCCTGCTAATCTCGGCTGCCTGCCTTGGACCAATGCTGACCACCGATTTTCGCGGGGATCTGGCCCCCTCGAAGTATCGAAGTTTAGCGGCACTTCGAAAACCCAAAAATCTCTCCGTGACATACCGCACTTTTCAGATTGCGCATCTCCTCTTTTTGGAAAATACGGGCTATATCGTCCTCTCAATCCAATTTTTGATCGGGCACTACGGAACGATCTGCAATTATGTCATCATTCTGGAATGGAGGGACATGGACGTGGCGACAAAGTTGTTTTTGATCACGCAATCCATCGTGGTTCAGGCGTCGTGGGTACTGTTTTTGTCCTTCGGGGCGTGGATGTTTGTCAATTCGGGAAAGATTTTGAGGTCGTGGAAATATTTGAAGTTGGCAGGGAGGGGGGAGATGAAGTATATGGGGAAGTTTAGAAAGTCGTGTAAACCGGTGTATTTTGGATACCCTGGGTTGCTCAGGGTGAAAAAGATCAGTGTACTGAAATATTTTCAGGGCGTGACGAGAGGCACATTTAGGGTGTTGTTGCTAACGCATAAGCGATGAGGTTTAGGATGAGGATGGTAATAGGGAACGGTGATATTTGGAGCTTGACATTTTTGTGGATTATTATTTTTTTAGTGTGAAAAATAATTTAATATATATGCATCTTGAATTTTACGAGCATTTACATCGTCAAATATTTAAATTAATTATCTAAATTAATGTGTCTGTGGTAATATGTAAATGAGCAGTAAAATTGTGTCCAAATTTCATATGTATATTTAACACAGCAACACAGTTGACACATTGACCCGGTTATCCCGTGAAGAAATATTTTCTTAAATGTCATTAACTAGTATCTACTTTAATCCTAAGACCTCTACACGCACGAAGTTCATGGAAATAAGCTATACTTAAATGGAATAGTTAACTTCTTTCATACTGCACCTCCCTATTTAAATTATGGTATGATTACATGAACAGTTTGAATTGCTTGGATGAAAAATAAAATTTTTCTTCATAAATACACAATCATGATAACATATTTTTTTGCATGTACGTACTTATCTAGCTGAACTGACGGAATTATCTTATTTAGTTTTGCATTTAAAGTGGCCACTTTAGCCCACACAGCAATCGTCGTAGCATTAAGGTCAAAAATAATCGTAAATACTGTTATTCTCTATGAAACTACATATTTACATGCACACTTGTTGCATAATTCGCTAAATTACCCTTACCCAATTGATGTCTAGCAGTAAAATATTTTGAAACTGTTCATTAGTTGCGTATGCACACTCTTAGGAATCCAGTATTAAACTAATACCAAGCGCTATTCAGAATGCCTCTACCAACGTGGTATCAGTAAGTAATACCGTGTGGTAATAGCTCTGTATCAAAGTTTTTACCATACATGTAGCAAATTTTTACGGACGAGCATAAGTGATTTTAATACCCAGCGGTAGCAAATTTAGCAAAGATAATATAAGCAATGCCTGTCTGACTATACCAGATTTCTAAGAGCGCATGTAATTCGAACGAATCCTATTATGCACTTATCCAAATAAATATGTACTTACACAATAAAAAAGTTTTGCCGGTTAACGTATTTACTGTCCTATTTCTGACCCTATTTCGCAACCAATTTCGAACCCGTGACTTTTCTAAACCAGTTTAAGCATTTCACGGTCGTCATTCTTTAAAAAGAATTCACTGCCGGCTTGACAATGTTGAGTAAGAAAGTTTTGCGAATTTTCTCCCTGATCATCACCCTAACTCGGGCCGCAGGTGCGACTCCTTTTTCCTGGAATGAGAAAACTGATCAGATTTACGTTACGAAAAAAGCCGTAAAAAAGGCGCAATTTTGGCTCATGGTGCATCTCGTTTTTCTTCTTCACGTCCTCTTGCGGACGTTGCATCTCCAATTTTACTTTGAGCATGATATCGCTACGATAAATTTCTGTCTCACTTTCCTCTTCAGCCTGATAATGCTGGTGCTTATGTATTTTCCTCAAGTAGTTTACTATGAGGAATTCGTGCAGTTTGTGAATAGTATGATTATCTTTTTAAGGAATTACGAAGGTAACTAACTAAATAATTAAGGGAAATTAGACAACCATAAATATATACATACCTAAACCAATTCTACGCGTGCAAAATTTACAAACTCCAATTCGAGCATAGTTAATAGTAATAGTCAATTTTCTCCGAGTATAGAATCTAACTAAATTTAAATCATACGCTGATGCAATTCCTACAGTTCTTGATAGCTTTGCAAAATTCGCAAGTTTTGTAAAATAATTTGACAAATTTTTATGTACAAAATAAAAAGACTAATTCAATCTGAGTAAAATTTGGATGTTAATCTTTAGGAATGTGCAAAATTTTGTAAAAGTTTGCGGAATGGGAATTTACTTAATTTGCAAAGTTAGCAAGGACTGCAAGAATTTACTCATTAAAATCAAGTTTTTAAATGCGCGGAACGCCTCAACATTAACGTACACCTCGATTTATAAAACTACATTAACATTCATTTATCTCCATTCACACTACACAATGTTAGAAAATATTTAGCATGCCTAATAACTAAAAGATTAACTTCCATTTAAACGTATTTCTCCTTATTTATTTGCTGATAGCCACCTGGTACCCGCACATCAATCCGGACCACACCCAGAGACACCGCTCCCTTCCAAATCTGTTGTATTCCTCCATCCTCAATCTCTACTCGGTCGCTGGTTGCCTCACATGGCTGTACTTTGCCTACCCGACGTCCGCCATCTTCCCGAATGGCGTCCTCCCACCGACCTGGCAATCCAGCTGGATTACTTATCTTGGCATCGGGTTCGTCTACATTCGTCTCGTGGTCATCATGGCGTCCATAATTCTCATGACGAACGCCATCACGATCATCTTGTCGTTCAGCTGCGCTCCGGTTTTGACGATCGACCTCCGTGGCGATTTGGCCCCGGAGAAGCACGAAAGTTTGAGCGGGCTTCGCCACCCGGGTAATTTGACGGTTGTGTACCGCATGGTCCAAATCTGTCATATCCTCCTGCTCGAAAATGTGGGGTATGTCGTCGTCTCGATTCAATTCTTAATCGGACAGTACGGACTGATCTGTAATTATGCAATTATTATGCATTGGGGTGACATGCAACTGCCCGCTAAAACGTTTCTGATCTCGCAGAATGTTTTGATTCAGTGTGGCTGGGTGTTGTACTTGTCGTTGGGCGCGTGGGTGTATACGAATTCGGTGAAGGTTTTGAAATCGTGGAAATATTTGAAGTTGGCGGGGAAGGGAGAGGTGAGGTATATGGGGAAGTTTAGAAAGTCGTGTAAGCCGGTGTATATTGGGTATCCGGGGTTGCTAAGGATTAGAAAGGTGAGTTTGTTGAAATATTTTCAGGGGGTGGTGAGGGGAACGTTTAGAGTTTTGTTGTTGGGGCACAGTGGATAATTTTGGGAAAGGTGAAAATGATTTTTCGTCCATAAGGTTACATGGGATGACGATTTGATGTGGCATAGATGTAATCTTAATGTACCCCAGATCAATGTCTTTCAATGCAAATTTCTAAGATAGTATAAGTTTGATGGTTTTGAAATAAAGGCAACTTTTTCTGTTTTAATGCATAGTTACTTTTTGGTACTACATAAAAAAAGTCTACTTAAAAAATTGCTAATTAATTTCGTATTTTTTTTACAATAAATTTGGTAAAACAATCTTAGGGTCGTCCATAAATTACGTTACCCGAGGGGCGAGGGGGTCTAAGGCTCCAATGATACATATTGTTCCTATGTTGCACATGTTAAACGAGGGTCTTGCGATCTTTGCGTTATATAAGGTATGAACGTTCCCTAATTTCTTAACATCATTTCGCAGGGTGCATATTTTCTAAATATTTATGATAGTATGTATACACATATATATATTTTTTACAAGTACCAAGAATTTGCACACTAAAATTCTGAATAATATATGCAAATAATTTTGGAGTCATTATAAGACCCATAAATTGTCGGATGAAAACACAAACGTCATGTCTGCATAAGGCCGTGACGTAGCTGCAAGCATTGCACGCGGGGTGTAAAAGATCCGAAAACCCCAACTGTAGTGATGGTAATTGTGAAATCCATACCCATATCTATCCATTTATGTATGCTGTCAATAATATGATTGGCAAAGTAGAGCAAAATTTGGTCGGATGCTTTTACATTTTCGTTGGACACAAAAATTAAACCCGTTGCCCATTGCATTATTGGCAAAATTATTAATTTCGGTTGGAATAAACTAAATTATCGTTGGATGGTATAAAATTGACCCTATGTAATATAAAAATAGACCATGTTTTGCCTGTACGTTTTCAATTTATTTGCCATTAACTCATCCAGATTTCCATACCCAACTAACATCTCCCTATTTAATACATACATATATTACTGCATAAATTTTTCAACACCATTGTCAATGCATTTTTTCAGCAAATTTTTCTAGCGTTGTGCAGCACTCTCCTCGCCGGCGCGAATGTGCTGATTCAACGAAGGGATGCATTTTGTTAATAAATATTTTTCATACGCGTTGAGCTGCGGTAACCCAAGATTTTTAGAGACTCCGTCCACCTAAAAGAAACAACTTTTCACGTTAACACGGAAACATATCAATAATTTTGCAGAGGATAAATTTCCTAAAATATTTATACCCCGAGTTCGATCGGATTGCTGAAATATTTGCACTCCGGCACCGCCACCGATTTGACGTAGGCACACTCCACGACTCCTTTCTCGCCAGAGACGACGGCTCTTAACAAGGCGTCGACAAAGTGATGAGCAGACCAGGCGATGGATAACGCCACGGTTCCAGAACCTTTCTTGGCAGCCACGATTTCAGCACCGGCTTCCTAATTAGCGAGATTGACAAGTAATAAATTTTTAAAGTCTTTTTTGCATGAAAATCGACTAAGTTATTTACATATTTTTTTGCATACCCGTATCTCATGCGTAATTAACTTGACTTGTTCATCGCTTAATTGAGGGTCTGGTTTACACTGGGATATAATTGGGATGATTGTACTCCCAGAGTGACCCCCGACGACGGGACAATTGATATCGGAAGTTTGCCATCCCTGTGTTTGCCAATTATGCGCATACATTCGTCAATTGTGAATTTTTTGCATGCAATTTGAGATTTTTATGTTTGACGATGCAAATAATTCAAATCCTACTTATGTACCTTTTCTTTTGCGATATAAGCTCCAGCTCGCATCGCATCGAGATTACTAATCCCAAGAATTTTAGCCTCATTAAGAACTCCAGCGCTTTTAAAGATTTCGCAGAATAGTGGAACAGTGCTGTTTATCTATAAAAAAAAATCAGACGAAAAAATTGTCATTTAGTTTTCTCAGAACAGAAAATTTCTGCCAAATTCCAAACTTTTTTTGACCTAGGAATTAGTCAAAATAGTTATCAAAATTTATGATCAGTTTATTTTTTTAATTACTTCGGACTTACCGGGTTCGTCACTATGCAGTAAATCGCGCCAGGATTCATAACCGCGCAAGATTTCGCTAACTCCTTGACCACTTTAGAATTCAGTTTGAACTGTTCTTCCCTCGTGACTCCGGCCTTTCTCGGCGATCCGGCCGCGCACAGAACAATTTTCGCGTCTTTCAACGCCCCCATTATTTCACCCGGACCGAACGCAGTCACTTTGTCGCAGGATGTCGGAACATGACCCAAATCTGCAGCCACACCCTGCGGATGGACTACGTCGTACAAGGCCAACTCTTCCACGAGCGGGTTCATCTTTAAAAGCAGGGACAGTGGTTGTCCGATACTCCCATTTGCACCGAGAACGGCGACCTTGGCATGCTAATTTAAAAAAATTTAAAAATTAAAAATTTTTAAAGAATTTAAAAATTGTTGATTTTTTTTACCTTGCCCGTTGAACTAAATAATCTCAATCCGGAGACATTACTATATTTAATATGTTTTAATTTTACTACAATAGCTCCAAACCTTGAGCAGTTCATTGTTATTAACTTGGAAAATTGGCAGGGTATTTTTTATGCAAAAAATATTTTATTTAAGCTTTAGAGGGCAAGCTAGAGGACGTAAATAAGTGGAAGGTAAAAGGTTTAGTTTAAAAGAACTGGGTGTGTTGTGGAGGTGTGGATGGCATGTTTTGTGGGTGCAAATGTAAGTGTTAATCTTGTTCAATTACCACCTTCGAAGAATATCACGCTCAATTCTGGCTAAGCCAGGATAAGTTATTACAGAACACCATAGGTATTTACATACGTAAAATAAAGTTGGACACAAGACAGAATTCTGGACATTTAGCCAGTTGTTTATGCATGTTTATTTATGTATTCAATTAGCAAGTCACTGTTCACATTTTCACAAGACATGTTATTGGCTTAAATTGTTCCTTCCTATTTCAGAAATAAATAAAATACTAACTTGAAATATTCACGTTGTCATCACATAATTCATAATGAAGCGATATAAACATGTAACTAAACATCGTTGCCATGCGTACGTACGTATGTATATATCTGTACATATATACATAAGTAGATGTAGATACGTACATTCCATACATATATCATTGTATCATACATACTACATATGTGTGTACATAAATAAATATTTCGAATCATTATTGCATACCATGGTATGCATCGTATGCATACTAATCTCAAGTTTCATGACAAATCCGACGTCTTGGATCACGGATGGATACCTTTCAGTACATACAAGTTGAAAGCTGCAATTGTTTTCATGAACAGAACAAACTTGTAATTTTGCAAGCTGCAAAATAAATTGCGAAACAGGAAACGAAATTGTTCTACTACAATTATGTACGTATATGTGTACATATGTTCAAAATTACTGCATACATATTTTTCCAGGATCCTTTATATTTATGTACATGAATATGTATTTAGAAATGAATGAAATGATACATATTTATCCTTATTGTATAATTATTGCCATAACATTAACCGTGTAAATCTTTGTTGGGTTGTGTGTGAAATTATCAGTAACTGTCTAAGGATTTAGACTAAATCGTTTAGTATCACCAGTTTAACTATTTACGAAGGAAGTGCATAAGTACATATTCTGTGATATAAATTATCTTACCAATATGTTTACCTAGGTTTGTTTTCTCCGGAATCATTACTCATTAATTTTCAGACTATAATTTACATATTCATTTCAAACAAAATCATACCAAATAAGTTAGACTTTGTCAACCTTACTTACATATTTAACTAAAACATGAGGGTATTTGCATATATGTAAATATTGAGGACATGTTTTCACCTCGCACCTGGGGGTACATGTTTATTTAGTCCATGTTACCGTAGCTCTTGTATTGAACATCAGATATCCGTATAAATGTCGAACATTTATCGTGGCGTGTAAAATTATTAATTGAATATGTGCCACTAGAATATTGAAATAAATAAGCCAGACAAAAGATAAGTCAATGCAAATGTTAAGCTATATCCAACCGTATTTAACCTTGAATTTGAAAAGTACCTAGCATATGCATTTGCAGTTAAATACAAAATCAAGCATTCCTTCAACAAACTTCATCCAAATACATTTCCTTTTAAAATGCTTAAAAAAGATATCACTCTGGTAAAACGAAACATAAAATATGGCGGATACTTTGTCTGTCTGCCAATCAAATGGGATAAGCAACATGGAAAAGTTTTTATATTCCCAGGAGCACAGAAACTTATAATTTTGTCTCTGGCCTTAAATTTTTGTGTTACGCTTTGTCGCCTACTTTCCACAATGACCAGCTCATCCGGTTTACTTGATCGAGCGCAGGCTGGCATCGGAGCTACAGCCTTTGCGTTAAGCTTCCTGATACGATTCGACATTCCGATCGACCACGTGCCCGTTCAACTGGTAAATCTTCTGCTTAAAGGAAATGGACAATCTGGTAAGAAAACAATTGTAAATTTATCTTTGCGATATAAAAATATGTACAACCTGTTAGAAATTTGGTATGGTTACTTATGTATGTACATACTTATGTAGGGATTAGTTTCTCAGCATTTAAGTTTTTACCGCTTGGTATTAAATGGTATACGGAAGTAACCCCATTCCTCTGGCCATTTACCCCGCATTGGTCATCGACTCCATCTCATAAAAATCTCCCGCCCGGGATATTAAATTATACCTCTTCGTAGACATTTGCCACCAACATGGTAAAGCTTTAATACTGAGCATTAAATTACTTTGGTGGTCATATATGAATACCGGCATACTATTTTATTACCGGATTTATAAGAGTATATTGCGTATTTTTTAGGTTCTCCTCGAAAGGATTCTAAGTTCCAGATGTGCCTCCGATTTTTATACTTATCCGCCGAAGCAACCGGTTTTTTAATTGCTGCGATATTGGCAGCTCTTACGATGATCTCGCCATGTCAGCCGATCTTGTTAAGTCGTCTTTTCTGCACGAAGGGAAACTTTCTTGGCGCAAAATCTCACTGCATAACTCAATCATTTTTAGCTATTGTTGAAATTGCATCATTTCTACACCTTGAAATAAGCTCAGTTTATTACTTAGCAACCGTGTTACTGCAAGGTATCTCGTTCTTGTGGAGTTCATGTAACGATTTTGTGGCTAGTGATGAAACAGCAAAGGATAATTTCGCCTCATTTTCGAAATACAGAGAGCTCAAAGTTTTCGAGAAATTGCTGAATTCTTGCACAAAATCGAGGATATTGCTCACTATAGCGCTTTTAGCTCCAGCCATCCAAATTTTATTGGGTGTCATTTCCATAAAATTATTTCAATCGGGAAATACCAGAAAAATTGAGGCTTTTCTGTTCACATGGGCTTACATTTTGGTCCTCATTTTTACAATGTTTTTGTTTTCTGCGGCTGCTCAAATCAATAATTTGAGCAGAAATTGGATTTCTGTATTCAAGAGGAAGTGTCGCAACAGGGTGGAGCGAAGGATGCATAAATCTTTGATGTCGTTAAGGTTGGAATTTGGGAATAATTTTGTTGAGGCGTTAACACCGATTGTGGTGCAGGAATTCTGCGTGAGACAAACAGTTACGTCTCTTCTCATTACAGTGTAGAGATTCGATTATAAACGTTGTCACAATAAGTAAAGTTTAAAAACGCCAATGTTTCACAATCAAGGCACAAAGTTAAACGCAATTGATATTACCATTGCATGGCTTTTAGACAATAGATATTTTTATTAAGTACTGTAAACATAACATATACATATTTATACTTAATTCTCAAATGAAACGATATACGCATGTACATAAATAAGCATGTTTGCATATGTATGCATGTATGTACATATGCATACTAATATGTACATATATCTAATGGTAATCATAAGTATGTATGGCAACATAAATTGTTATCATACTCTGTGGTGTAATCCGTAAAGGTCAAAAGCAAAAATTTCACCTTTGTTAAAGCATTGAGAAAATTCCTAGCCTTGCGTCACTATAATCCTCATTACTTTTTCAAAAGTAATTTTAACAGGGAAATTTTTGCATATTGTTTCATACGGATATATTGTGCAATATTTGCATATAGTGGGATATTTGAACTCTCCACCCACCTAAATAGTATATGTACCTAGTAAGTACTACTGGTTAGATATTTAGAAATGGTAGACATTGATCATTATTTTATATAATTATCGCCATGACTTGTGATTGGGCGAATATTTACCGGATGGTGCGAGAAATTATGAATAAATGTCGAAGGAGCTAGTATCAGCCCGTCTAACAATTTGTGCAGGAAGTACGTACATATATATTTCGTAATATAGATACCTAAATTATCTTACCCATAGAATGCTTATTACGGTTGTACATATTCCTCGGAATCATAAATCATCATGATTAATACAGTAATATTCCACACTACATATAATATATTTCAAGCAAAATCGTAGTAAATAAGCACGACTTTGACAACCTTACTTACATATTTAATTAAGACATGAGCAGTATTTGCATATTTATGTACGTATATTGAGAACATGACTTCATCTCGCACGCAAAGGAAATACATAATTATTTAGTCTGAGTTACCGTAGCTCCTTAAATTGAATATCAGATATCTATACAGATTCGAACATTTATCCGACCCTGTAAAATTATTAATTAAATAAATAGTATAAAATATTTAGATAAACCTGGGAAATGCTACATAAGTAAGCGCAAATACTAAGCTATGTAAATTCATCCTTATGTAACCTTTGAGCCTTAAATTCGAAAAGTAGCATATGGATTTGTAGTTAAATTCAAAAGCCAGCATTGGTTGGTCAAACTTCATCCGAATACATGTCCGTTTAAAATGCTTAACAAAGATATCACTTTGGTCAAACGAAATATAAAATATGGCAAATATTTTGCCTGCCTACCCGTCAAATGGGATAAGCGAAGTGGAAAAGTTGTTATATTTCAAGGTGCACAGAAAACTCTCATTTTGGCGCTTCTCTTTAATTTGTGTGTTATATTTTGCCGCCTACTTTCAACACTGACTGGCTCATCCAGTTTACTTGATCGAGCTCAGGCTGCCATCGGCGCTGTATTTTTCGTGACGGGGTTCCTGATAAGATTTGACGTTCCGATCGACCACAGGCACGTTCAGCTAGTAAACCTTCTGCTTAAACCAAATGGAGAATCCGGTAGGAAAACTATTGTAAATTTATTGCAATTCAGCTGATGAATAATTTTTGAATAATTTTTTCAATATTTTTCGACGAAAAATTATTGAAGAAAGGTTTATGCTTTAATATTCATGAAGAATGAATGAATTATTCAGTTTTCACCTTATGTTTACAAATAGTACATGAGGTATATTGAGGAGTTAAATGAATAAAAAATGAATAATAAATTTTGAATGAATGAATAAATATTTTTTGAATAGATATGTCTAAGATATACATAAACATGTGTCCTTATTCCGTTTTTTAGTCTCGCATCGAAGGGATTCTAAGTTCCAGATATGCCTCCGATTTTTATATTTCGCCTGCGAAGTGACGGCTCCCCTAATTTCCGCGATATTGGCAACTCTTACCATGATCTCGCCATGTCAGCCTGTTCTGTTAAGTCGTCTTTTCTGTGCGAAAGGCAATTTTCTTGGCGGAAAATCTC